TGCAATATTTTTAATAACACTGGCACCTGCACTGTAAACCTTATATTTTATATATAATGTTCATTATCATAATTATTCATTTTTCATGTAGCATAATTAGAAACACACAGCCTAATTTTAAAGATGAACTACACTGGGAGTTAATTTAATATTTATTTGATTTTCAGCAACATAAGAAATCAGTTTTATTTTTAATACATAGTTTGGTTTTCAGCAATGTTATAAAACCACCGAACTCACATAAACAAATAAACAAAGAGTGTGGTTCTTTGTAGTGAGCAGTCCCTTGGGAATTGTTAATGTTTGGGAAGTTCGCTAGTAGCTTGTATATAGACCTATTTATTATAACGTAGCGATAAACACCTTGATACGCATTCACTTCAAAGCCCAACAAATTGTTGTTGTTTCTGTTAGCTCGCTTTCGCTCTCGCTCTCACTCACGTGTGTGTACAATACACAACACACATTTGTATATAAATACAGGCACATACACAGAATAACATACGAGTCGTTTGTTTATTTGCACGGGAATGTTTATTGTTGTATTCTTGGTTCCGGGCAACGAAATTTCGCCGCTGTGCAAAGCATTTTGCTGACAATTAATTGTGCATTAATTTTAATTAGGTCAATATATTTTCTTCGTTTTTTTTTTTTAGCTCGGAGGCAGATGCAGACGAAAGCGAACAATGAGGCCAGATAATTAGAAAAGGGTCCTAACCGAGTTTTGTGCTTAGCACAGCACAAATTCTAACTAGCTTCACGTGGTGCACACATTTCAATTAGGAGTCGAAGAGGCATCAGGCTTTCACTTATACTCTGCCACATTCATAGTATATATATAAATACATACATACATACATGTATATATCATAGGACAACTGCTAAACACTGTTGGACAGGGTGGAAGAGCTGACAATTGGCCAAATTGTGCTTGCCAACAACGCAAAAAATGTCACACAATCGAGTTACTAGCAGAAGCTAATGCGATTGCCAGCTCTGCCAACCAATACATATACATTCGAAAATATATATAGTACAGTGGTCTCTCGCAAATTAACACGCTGCGGCTATAGACCCAACTCACTATTATATAAAGGAAACAGTTAACGCTAAATGCACTATCATTAATATATCATTTTATATGAAAAAGAGAAAATTGCGATGCTAATTTGTGGCTGCAGTAATTTTTTTTAAGTGACAACTGTATTATAATGTTTTGTGTGTATGTAGAGTCAGTATGCAGCAAGCTGCCAATACTCAGACACTGAGCAACAACGGCAATTTACACTCATAATTTATCTGTGCAGAGTGTGGAACCTACACAAATTTTGACATACTTCAAGGCGCCACTCGCACATACACCCAGAGAGAGAGAGAGAGAGACAGAGACACGGGCAGAGTGAGACAGGGAGAGAGAGAGTGTGTTGCCACAAAAATTGAAATTCTGGCAGCGGCAACAGCTTCAACTTGTTGACGTCGTCGGAAGCAGCCGCAAGTAGTGGGCGTCAAATGTTGGAAGGACGCGCGAGCCAGGAGCAACAGAGCAAAAAAATATAACATAAAATCACGAGGCGCTGCTGGATTCAACAATTTGTTGAATGTACATACACAGACACACACACAAGCAAGCACGCGTATTTGTTTTGTGTATGTGTGTGTATATATATATATTACATGAAATGAATAAAAGTATGTGTCGGACTTTTTTCGCTTTATGTAAAAACGAAAGACACACACACAGATGCGTCGAGTGCTGGGCAAACGGTTTGCGGCAAGTCCGTTGTGTGTGTGTGTATTTGTGTGTGTGTGTATATGTGCTCAATACAAGAATATAGAGAGAATGTAAAGGCAGGCGGAACGACAGGTTCCAAAATGGAGCCCCGAATTCAGCGTTGAAACGTTAAAGAGCAAATAAATGGCTCGAAACAAACAAAAACGATGAAAAGATGAAGCAAAGCACACACAGACAACAAAGTTAACCGTTAGCCAACAGCCAACCAACAGCACCAAAATGTGCGTAAAAGCACACTAAAGTCGAACTTTAGTTGTAGTTGTGTGCGACTCTGTGTGTGTGTGTGTCTGTGTGTGTATTTCCGTTAGATTCGCTGTGTGGGCTTGTTTTATTATTATTTTAAATTTAATTTAAACAAATTGTTTATGGTGTGTTTTCGTATTTTATATACGCACTGTTAAATGTTAAATTATTGGGTTTGTTGTTTATAAACATTTATTTATACGCGTTTTTTTTAAGTTTTTTTTTTATGTTGTATATTGAGTTTGCCCTAGGAATTTTTTCTTGTTTTTATTTTGTATGCTGTTGAATTTTTTATGAAGTCGCAGCACACACACTCACTAGATTGGGGGAGGGGAGGGTTGGCGGGGGCGAGAGATGGGCGGAGGGTGCCCGAGGGGACGACTACGCGCAGTTTTCGACTGTCCTCTGTCAGTATGGGTGGCGTGTATGTGCGTATTCGCTTGTACGCGCGTCTGAATGTGTGTGTGTGTGTGGCGGCGTACCAGTGTGTGTGAGGGAACGCGTTGCCGACGATGCAAACAGATCAAAATCTCGCCCAACACTGCTGGGGATGGCGTCTGGGCGCTGAAGCTGGCTACAGAGCAGCTTCCCGATGACTGCTAACAGCACACTGTTAGGCTAACATTATTGGGCCACTCACAGCAACGAATGCGGGCAATAGGTCAGTGTTAACAGTGAGTGAAGATGCTGCCGCAGTAATTGTTTCTGCTACTGTTACTGCTAGACCTGATACGGTGAGCGGGCTGGCTCTGTTAACATAACTGCTGTCGGCATCGGCAGCAGGCACAACTTTTTTTATTCTGTTACCTTTTTTTTTACAATCTGGCTAGCCTTAGTCTCTTATTTATACGATGCTGTTGCATGTTTTATCCCAAGCATCTGTTTTCTATCAAAAACTTTGTTGTGAACATTTACAACGACCTAGCCTGTGCGTGTGTGTGTGTATGTAGATGTAGGAATATACACGTATGAGTACGTTAGATGGGAAACGTTTTATGGCGGTGCTTCCGTTAGCCAAGCGGAAAAATGTTTACTACAAAGAAACACAACCAGAGCAATATGCAAAATGGCTTTGTCTGTGTGTGTGTGTGTGTGTGTGTGAGTGTGTGTGTGTTCTTATTCTACATGTTCTGGTTGCTGTTGCTGCTGTTGTTGCTGTTATTGTTATTGTAATGTATGGCGGATAGTCGGCAGTCGTGCATGGTCCAACGGTAATGTGTCCATTTTTTATGCGTTTATTTAAAGCAAGCATAAAAACTATATGGAAATTGTCAACGCAAGACTTAGCGCTAATATATATATATATATATATATATATATATTCACAAAGCAGAAGTAGATGATGTGGATGTATTTCTAAAAATGTGTGTGTGTAAAGGAGTCGCGGAGGCAGTTGCAGAGGTTGCTTGCCAAAGTCAATTAAGTTAGCCAGAAAAAAAACATCCAAGTCAGCCACAAACGCAGCCAGCTAAAATGTAACGTTCGAAAACTTTGGAGGCAGGTTGCCCCAAAAGTGCGCAACGGTTGTTGTTGTAATTGTAACGATCCGCGGCGTGCGTAAAACGCAACAACAACAACATCAGTCACAACAACAACCGACACACAATTACGCTCACAGACTCCACTTTGCTAATGGAGCTGGGTGCTTACATTGATGTTGCTGCTGCCTCTGCCACAAAGGGAATACACATGTTCATGCATACAACTACATCTGCACACCCACACACACACACACACACACGCACAATGAGCTGTTGCTGCTGAGGCACGCGCCACTTTGATTAGCCTACTTTGAGGCGCATTTTTATCAATTCGATTTGCATTACTCAAGGATATCCAACATCGTTTAGCTATTTTTTTTTAGACATATATATATACATATATATATATGTGCTTTAGGTTTGCTTTCATTTCACGTTCATTGTGTATTCCTAACTGGTTTGACTCACACAAGGACTGGGAATTTGGGGGTATTATCCGACGAGGACAGCCAAGCGCAGGCCATACGTCACCTGCGAGCGTGTCGAGTGGACGACGTAAACTGTTTGGTCTCTACGCACAATGCGACAAACGTCGCAGTAACCGCAACAGAAAAGAGAGCCTTGAATGTTAAGTTAACAGCACGCTAACAGCGAACCAAAGTTGGCCAATAGGTCAGTTACACTGCAGCTGCAATGCGTTGCCGCATCGCACAAAACACAATGTGAAAAATTAATTTCCATTAACAGACACTGAGAAAAAATGAGCAAGTAAGCAATTATCTAGTCAACAATGTTCGACTAGAGGCTGCCCTGTTTTAAGCTCTAAAAATTGGAAAAAATTTGTATGCATTCTTTGATTGATATTTAAATATGATTGATTTAGTACTAAAGCAAAAATCAGAATGTTAGCAAGGCCTATATGTAATTATCTGTAGAACTGACCAATACCTCAAGTGCATTTGCATAGAATAGGCCATCGCCTTTTAACTTAAAATTTATCGTTTTTTTATAAGTGTACATGTGTGTTTAATAAATTTACGTACACACAGAAATAGTAGCGCAAGGCTGTTTTGGGATAATAAATTTACAATATTTATGGTATTGCGATAAGAATGTACCTAAAAAGACATTTGGCTTCACGCCCATACTCATTTGCATTTGAAATGAGATTTGAAGCAGAGACAACGCATTCAATTGTAAAAATATATTATAAATTTAAATTACGAGTTCTTTTTACACTTGACTGAGTCGTCTGGCACCTACATTATCTTCTTAGAAGCATTAATCACAACCATATTTAGTTTTATTTAGATAACTATCTTAATGTTTCTTTTTCATTTTTAGCAAATTACGTTACTGTAAGTAGGACATACAAAATGACTTATTAAATCATTTTATTCTTTTAGTTCAATATAAATTTTAATAAATGATCCCAACTACCATAAAAAAAATTAAATTTCAATAATCAAAAATACAAGTAGCGGTTTTCTTTTGTAAATATCGCAAGGATATTTGAAAATTTATTGAATACAACTTGCATTTGATATGCAGAGGTGTTCGTGGAGTTGTTGCAGTTACATTTGTACAACGAATTATAAAGATAACTAACGGTAAAGCTAAGGCACTTAACGGCGATCGGTTTTGCCGGTGCCACGTTTGCCCGAATACAAATGCTTGGGCATCTTGGTGCCAATGAAACGATCCGCCTCGCCCTTGAGACCCATTCTGGTGACCTTCTTTGCAATGTCGCGTTTGGCGCGCACTTGCGCCTTCTTCCGGATGGCAACGTCCTTGATGCCAAGCGTATCGCGACTGGGCGCACGCTTGAGCGGCTTGCCTGTCTTCTTGACCACCGCCGAGGATTCCTTGTCCAACAGCGGCTGCTTGGGCGTCGTTTTGCTGCCAACGGCAACCTGACCACGTCGAATATCGACCACAGATTTGGTGAAATTGGCGTTCTCGTTGCCGGACATGTCGACGCCCAGGCCCTCCATGGTCTCCACCAGTTTGTTGACAGAACGATCACGCACCTTGGGCTGTTTGTGGCGCGGAATGATAGGTTTGTTCTTTCTGGACGACAGACGCTTCTCGTCGCGCAATTCGAAACGTTTTCCACGTATCTGCTTGGCCATTTCTCGAATCTCCTTGAGCGTCTCATCCATTGACATATCGGGCGGATTGTAAAAGCCACTCGATTCGCGCAGACCCTCCTCCCGTTCAAGTTCTTCTAGCTTCGAGAAAATATCAGCATCGATGTAGTCGGCAATGTTGTGTCCCTCCAGGAATTCGGGTATTACATCGTGGCGTTCATCCTCGGGTATTTCCTCATAGTTCTTCTTCAGATCCAGCGTGTAATCATCGCCCATCTCCTCCTCGATCTCCTTCTCCAGCTTGCGCTTACGCTCTGACTTGGCCGCATTCTGTTCGAGACGCGCCAGCGCCTGTTGCGGTATACAAGGAGCTCGAATCTTATCGTCTCGCGGTGCTGGCATTGCCACGTGCAGGCGATTCAGTATGTTGTCCACCTTCTTGGTACGCATCTTTTGGTCCACGCGATAGGAGAGCAGACGCTCACAGGCCTCCGTTTTCACCTCCATAACGCCCGTCTCCTGCACTGTGGACATATACATGACAGGCACCTGTTTATCCTCCTCCAGCTTGGTGATTATTGCCCGTCGCTCGGCGGGTAAATCCTCTGGTGTCAAGATGTCCACTTTGTTAATTGCGAGAATCAACGGTTTATTTGTGAAGAGTGGCTTGATGCTCTCGAACAACTGCACCTGGTCCTCCAACGAATGACCGCACTGCTCCGAAATGTCCATGAAGTACAGGACACAGGCACGCAAATGCGCCAAGGCTGTAATCGCCTGCATCTCAATCACATTACGCTCCTCGAGCGGATGGTCGAGTATGCCAGGCGTGTCGATCACCTGCCAGCGCAGATACTTGTAATCTGTGTGTCCTACATACAGGGACTTTGTTGTGAATGCATACGGTTGAACCTCGACGTCGGCGCGTGTGATTTTGTTGATGAACGAGGACTTGCCCACGTTGGGGAAACCGCAGATAATTATCGTTCGGGAGTAGGGATCGATTGTGGGCAGACGCGACAAGTGCTGACGCACTTGCTCCAAATATGTCAAATTAGATGCCTGACGCTTCAGAATTGTGGCCATGCGACCCAATGCAGCCTTCTTCAGCTGCTTGCAACGATACAAGGAGTCGCCATACTTCAACAGACGCACATAGTCCTTGGCCACGCTAGAGAATTATAAATAATATTATTCTATATATATATATATATATGACAGATTTCCAAATACTCACTTGTCTACCAAATGCCTGGCTGTGTTTAGCTGGCCCAGTGCCAGTTTGTAATGGTCCTTGTCGTAGAGAACGTTCATCAGATCCGCATAAAATGGATGCACATCGTCCAACTTGGGAAAGTCCTGAATGATCTGCGATAGACGATCATGGAAGTTCTGTTGCGTGTATTTCACTTTGCGCGTGTAAAAGGCACGAATCCGAGAGATTTTGTAGCCCTTGTGGACGACTGTGGGCGTCTTGCGCTGTGTCTTCGACAACATGATGTCGATGAAGTCCTGCAGAATGTTATAAAATTGTTATTATTTATATATTACGCATTTGTAAACACATTCATTGAGGTTATGTCGGCCAGGAGGGTGCACCAAGAAACATCATCAAATAACATTCTTGCAATGCTTACCTTTGCTGGCGGAACCACCATTATCTTTTTAAAGTTGTACAAACTCATTTTCGCAGTTATTTATTTATTTTCCAAGTTAATCTAAGGAAAATAAAGGGAAATCGCTAACAAATACACCACGCGGTGCCTGCAACAGATTCCAAAAAGAGATGAAATAGAGTCTAGTGATGGCTTGAAACATCGATAGCAACATCGACGAAAACATCGCAAAGCACAAATAATCATGACAAAAATAAATCGAATATTCCATCGATAGTTTTACAATTATCAACAAAGAGTGTTTAGGCTCATATTGCAGAAAATTAACAACATAAGATTACTTGGGTCAACAAGTTTGTTTCTAAATCACTTTCTAGCAATATTATAATGTATTTAAGCCAAGGTATAATCGCCGCATGCGAGACACGCGCCGCATATAATAAAAACATGGAATGTTGTTCATTTTAGGAGCGTAGCTTAATATACGAGTCATATGCAATATCAACAATCGCTTTAAAAATGCTGGAAGACAAGAGCGGCAAACCCTTCAAATGTGACCAATGCAATTACACGTCCAATCGCCAATTCGATCTGCGGCGTCACAAGCTGCGTCATGCCCGGGTGAAACCCATCGAAGGCTACATCTTCAAGTGCAGCGAGTGCCAATTTGCAACCAAATGGAAGCGCAACATGAGACGCCACATGCAGACGCACGAGAAAACTGTAGCTGCACACAAGGTGGAGGAGGAGGAGGAGGAGACGGAAGCGGAGGCGGAAGCGGAAGCGGAGCAGACCATCGAGGAGTATTTCGTGGAGGTGATCAACGGCTCAGAAACGGAGCCTGAAGTGGATCTCGTGGTGGAGGAAGCTCAACAGCCTGCAGTCAGCGTAGTGCTGCCAACGGATCAGTTCGAAAAGAATAAACGCTTCAAATGCGATCTCTGCCGCTATACATCCAAAAGGCTCTTCGACATACGACGCCACAAGCGGACGCACACCAGAGTCAAGGTCATTGATGGCAAAGGCTTCAAGTGTGACGAATGCAATTTCATTACCAAGTGGAAACGAAACATGGGGCGACATATGAAGAAACACGAGAAAGCACCCAGCGAGGCAGCGGTAGAGGAGGAGCACTCGGCAGAGCAGTCAACTGTTGAGTATACATTGGAGCTGATGAAACCAAATACAGATATATACACGATATATGCTTCTGAAGAGCAGTCATTGGAAGGGCTGATATCGCCAGGAGTGGATATAAAAGCAGCATATACAACCGAGACACAGATTCTGGATATTCAGGTGCCTGCAGAGAATCACAGTGATCCCGAGAAACGTTTCATGTGCCCCAAATGCGAGTATACCACAAAACGGATATTCGACTTGCGTCGCCACTTGCAGGTGCACGCGAAAACGAAGCACATCGAGGGTATTGCCTATCAGTGTAACACTTGCTCCTTCATAAGCAAATGGAAACGGAATATGCGACGGCACGTGGAAAAGCATCGGCGATCTTTAGTCCCAAAAGAAGCGCCTCCCGATAAGCAACAATTCAACGAAGTTGTTGTCGATCAAACGTCCGATTTGGACTCACAGGTGGAGGACACAATAGAGGGGGATCCCGAAGTGCTGCCATCCTATTGGATTGCACTAACACCATAGCATATTTATATATACTACTAAATCTTTAAATGTTGGAAAAGCTACGCCCTTAAGACCCCCATCTGCAATGGATTATTTTATAATCATATTTGCGGAAAGGCCTATAACTAATGGCCAAATTTTAGTTCAATATTTGATTACATACATATATTATTATTGTAAATAAGAAATTACGTTTTCTTGTATTTTATTGAAACAGCTACAGAAAATAATGGCAATAAATGAACAGTAAAATTAGCCCCAATCAACTTTTAATTTCACTCACATTTTAATATCAAGATGCAATGCAGTGAAAACACTGCGAATGCTCAACTTCAATATGCCAAGAAATCTGCGTGCATTGCATACATAAATATTTATATAATAAAATGTCTATATTTAAAATGGCATCTAATATGTATATCATCATTATTATTAATTATATAACAAACTTAAGCAATATATAATTTAGCAATCTTGTTATCGATACAACCGATAAGCTATCGATGTGAAATGCATAGTACATCGGTGTGACAAGAAACCGATGTTCGTACATCACTACTTTCGATCATTTTTACATAGACAACTTTACGGAATTGTTGCTTAAATTTGCTTAAATTTAATACAAACAGCTTTCACTTGAGCACAATAAATATTTAAAGGAGAACAAACAAATTAATTAAAATGGCCGACGACTGGGGTAAGTAAATGCACGTGGGTGCGTCACCAGTAATAATAACGTGGGCGCTGCGCATGTGGCGCTTCGTTGCCCTCTGCAACACACCCCTTCCCCTCTTTTGACTGGTTGATAGACAAGAAAGGAGACAATCAAACGTATGGCAAACGTGCACCCAACCTTGATATTTGTATATTTTTAGCAATTGTATATTAATCGAATATTCTTTCTGTGGTCTATGCTCGATCTCTGCAGAATTCGCCGCGGACAGCAAAGTTGTCGTAAAACCGAATGCAGCCAACAACATAAACAAGTGGGAGGGCGAGGACGATGACGAGGATGTTAAGGTGCGTCCAAAAAACAATTCAAATCAAATCAAGTCTATTCAAATCTGCAATCTGACAAGTCAACAACAGGCAGCCCCACTTTGGCTGCTGCTTGGCAGTCGAAACTTGTTTGTCGAAATAGTTTTCACTTTTGTTTTGCTGGACACGTGTGCAATTTGTGAATGCATTTTGTGTTTTTGGTTGTGACTCATTTGAAACGTATGCAATTTGTTGATGTTTAGGAGAGCTGGGAGGATGAGGAGGAGAAGAAGGATGAAGAGAAGCCCACGAAAACAGAAGCGCCAGCCAAAACCAAACCAAACAAGGTTCTCAAAGCGAAACTGCTGGAACAAGAGGTTTGTATTTGCAAATTAACTGATTTTATGCTTAATAATAAAAATAATACAATTAGTGCCTAGAAAAGGAGGAGGAAGCGAAACGTTTGGCCAACATGTCAACGGAAGAGAAGCTGGCGGAAAAGCTGCGTCTGCAGAAAATACAGGAAGAATCTGATCTGAAGAGCGCCCTCGAAACATTCGGCTTGACGAGTATAGACGGTGGCCTCGACTCCTTCAATCCGCAGAGCAATGAGGAATTCAAGGAATTTGGTGCCACATTGAGCTGGAAGATTGCACAGTACAAAGAGAGTCCCCACTTTCCGCAATTCATTGAAGATCTGGTGCAGGCGCTGTGCGTCAACTGTGAGTGATAATAATTACCTATTCATCTATATACATAATGATAATAATGAGATTTTTTTAATAAAGTGAGCACCGCTGACCTTAAGAAGGTCAAAATGAGCGTGGAGGTTTTGCACTCAGAAAAGTTAAAAATGGAAAAGGTCAGTGTCAAGAACAAGGGAGCTGCCAAGAACAGGGGAAAAGCCACGCTGCGCACAGAAAACGATGTAGGTCAAAACAAGAAAGGAATCGATTAAAAGTTGCTTTTCAGCATTTTCATTATTAATATTTGAATATTTACAGGATATTGATGTCTACCAGAAGTATGGAGATGATTTTACCGACGATTACGACGACTTCATGTGAATAGAATCAATACTTACACTCGTATATATATAATAACTGAATATATATAGTTGCTTGTTGATGTCGAGAGAAGAGAGTTCTTGTTACAGAAATTGCGCAGGAATTTAAATCCTTTTTGTTGATTGCTGATTGCAGGCGCCATATTGATATAAATATATATATATATATTTATAAATAATCGTATGACAGCACACACCATTACATCTGTAAAATAATATATATATACATATATATATATAGAATAACTAAAGTCGAGTCAAGCTAGCAATCAAGAAACCTCAACGATTATTCAATTTACAAAACACACACATACACAGAAATAGAAACTACAGAATAAATTAGGTACATGAATGGCTTCTTGTAAATTCACTTTTGTATAATATAAAGCGATATTAAATGTAAAACAAGCTCAAGTCTGATTTTTATTTTGTGCATATTTTGAAGCTGAAGATTGATTGATTTCCCCTACTCCAAAGAAGTTACAAATTTATCAAATAATCATACGATTTTTCGCATTTAGTTAATCACAGTTTACAGATCAAAAAACAATTTCGATAATGAAAAATGATTTTAATCTTCAAGAAAAAAAGTGTACTTAAAAACGCGGTAAGGCCGATAAAATGGATTCATCAAGCCGACCGACCGAAATTTGTCGATCTGTAAACTGTGCCATACATTCAAATCCAGTCTCGATAGGTTGGCGCTTGTGACGTCAGTCGTTTAGAGACATGGCATTTAGGGATGTAATCTTATTTTGCATGGCATGGCAAAGCAACTCTGCGCATTGTATGGCAACACTGGCCACCAGGCACGTGTGTCGAATTCAACAACAAAGGTAAACATGACGGAAAGCATCAATGCATTACTTGCCGGTATTATCAATATTATTGTCAATTAAATATCGAACATATAACTCTAAGCCGACTTGGCATTGCAGAGGCCGCCGCCAAGGAGTTGCACAGCTCCGAGGATGAGGAGGACATTGGGGACGAGGACACCTGTAGCGCGCAAGAATTGGCAGCAGCATTTCAATTTCAGTATGCACAGGACGAAGCATCGCTCACCTTAAAGCGGGATTACGTGCTGGGTCTGTGTGCGGACAAAGGATACACATGCTTGGCAGCGGGTCTCTCAAATACAGCCGTAAAGATTTACGATCTGAGTGCGGCGGCTGCTTTGACACCAGTTCACGTGGAACGAGTGCCAATTGTCGCCAGTGCGGATCAGGATGTCACCATTTGTGGCGTACGTTTTCTGGACGAGAGTCCACATACACTACTTGTGGGCACCACCAATGGCCAAGTGCGTTTGTTTGATTTACGCGCAACTGGGGAACAGGCACGGTTTGAGTACAAAGCTGATCCGGATGCGGATTCCCATTTGCCACCCGTACCAAAATCAATGACTTGTTTCGATCGCAATGCGAATAGCCGCATCATCTGCAGCGGCACGGAGCAACACATGGGCAATGTGTACTTGATATTCTACGATGTGCGCGAACGCAGGCAGCTGGGCGTCTACCAGGAGAGTCACGAGGATGATGTGACGCAGGTGTCTTTCCATGCCAAGAATCCGGATCTGGTGTGCACGGGCGGCACGGATGGGCTGATTAATGTGTTCGACATCAAGCAGCCGGATGAGGATGAGGCTCTGCTCAACACGATCAATACGGAGAGCAGTGTGCATCGCCTCAATTGGCACCAGAATGTCTACGAGCAGGACATCATCTCGTGCATCACGCACACCAACGATTTCAGGAGCTACGAGTGCATGGAGGGTGACGAGATCATTTCATTTGATCGTGCTGCAATTACAGCTGGAATACGCCGCAAAAATGCGGGCAATTTCAATTTAATCAATGCCCACAACATGCAAGACGATGGCGTCTTTTTGCTTGCCGGCACCAACTTCAATCGCGGGTGAATTGAACCTAAGTTTATTAAATAGCGTAGTATTTATCTAATTTTGCTCTCGTTTCTCTAGCGAGGTGCTGCGTTCGGTGACTGCCCCGGCCAAAGATACGCTGAAACCGCTCACAAACTTTGTGGGCAACAAGCAAATTGTGCGCGAAAGTATTTTCGATGCCACGCGCAATTTGCTGATAACTGGCGGCGAAAGCGGCATTATCTCCATCTGGACACCCGAGGCGAGCAACAAGAGTAGCAACAATAAGTTAAAGAGCAAATCGGTAGCATCTAAGAAACACACGAAAAATCCATATTAAAACGCAAACAATTTCAAATCAAATTTTGTAGCATCTAAGAAATACAATAAAAATCCATGTTAAAACGCAAACAATTTCAAGTACATTCTTTTTAAATTTGGCGCCATTTTATTGTTGCCAGCTGTTTCGTACTTGATGTTACCACACGCTATGCTGCCCATGTTGCCACCAAGTTAAGACATTGTTGTTCGCTGACAAAGGCTGCTTGCGTTCATAACGTTATGTGTGATCTAAAACGTAAGCGCGGTGGAATAACGTATTGGCAGAAGTGAATGCTCTTTAAATTTTTTTTGGGGGTGGATGTTCAACATATCAAAATGGGTGACTTTTTTTTAGAAACTTAAAAAATCGATGCTTAAAGTGCCATATTTATGTAGCACTTAAAGACAAAGTCAAATAATTTATTTGAAATGCCAGCAGTTTTTTATTTGTATTTATAATATTTTTTCCAGTATAATGGGAAGGATAGTTTAAATTTTCCATTAAAAAAAGGAATTTATTTTGAAATATTTGACAATGAATAATTATAGCTTAGATTTGTTTATAAATCAAATAAATTATATAATTATTAATGATGCCAAAAAAATTAATTACATAATTAATTCAGCAATTCAATTTAAAAATGAAAGATCTTAAAATATACGAGTTTCAGTTACCATTTAAAAATGTGTTTGGAATACTAATTTTAGTTTCCATAACTATCAGTTACGATTTGAAAATATGCCTGGAATATAAATTTGAATTCTTACAACTTTCAGTTACCGTATAAAAATCTTCTCAGAGCCACAAATGATGATTCTAATAGCCTAGTAAAAAAAAGATAGAATGATATTATACTCTCTCTTTCTCTCTCTATCTCTCCATCCTCATCCGTTCCAAATGGTGTCAGCTAGCTGAGCTTAGTAAAAAATTAGCACATCCTTAAGACGAATGGCCAGCCTCAATTCTCATTTTCTCAATTTCTCAATTTGTGAAATTCTTGATTTCAGTGTGTCAATTAGTGCTGCAGTAGGCATTTCGAATGCTTGCCCACAAATCGAGTAATCCTGTGCCACCGGCCGAGGTCCTGGCTAAATGCTGACATGTTGACAAATACAACACCTACTATACAAATCCAAATACAATACAAATAAAATTGCTACAGAAGTACCACCTAAAACGTAGCAGCGAACAGCGAAAGGACTAACCGGAACGACATAATTTTCACAAATTTACGCCAAGCGGCGGGATTGAAAACCCGAGTTGGACGAGCAACGGTTGCCGCCACCGTTGCAATTTGGTCCTGCGGCGCATACAGGATCGGTGAGGCCCGTTCCTTGTTCTGGAGCCACTCACCGTGCCTAATTTGCTCATGAATAAATTTGTGCTGTTTTGAATTCCATTGAAAATGCGTTGCTAGAAGCTGACCGAAACGAAGACCAGTCTCCGATTCCATCTCTCTCTCTCACGCCCTCTCTCTCTCTCTCTTTCGCTCTGTTTGTCTGTGAGTCTCGTCGAGCAACCAAAATATTATGGTGTTCCCTGCTGTTAGCGCACAGCCAGCGCGAATTTGCTGCGGTAAGTCGATGCTGTTTTTGGGTCTGCCAGCGAGTCCTTTTGGGCTTCATTTTTTCTTCTTCTTTTTTTGGTTCTTGTCGTCGGCTGTTGTGCTGTGATTTGACATGTTTGTTAGCAGGGCGCTTGACCCTGAGTTTTGTGTGTTCCACTTTGATGTGATTCGTCAATGCGGTGGACTACCGGCTACCGACTCTCGTCTCTGTCTCTGTCTCCGATCTCAGATCTGTGGATGCGCACATCTTGTGCGGATGCCCAGCAGCGTTTGTTGGCGAATCTGTGTCGGCCAGTCGCTTGTCTGTTTGTTTGTTTGTTTCCACTGCTCTTCTGCTGTTCCCAGTGCTGGAGTGGCATTCGTCAGGCTCGGCATGGGTCATCCCTGGCCTAGCCATGGAACCCCCTAGTGGGTCATATACCGCAATGCGCTGTATTTATAGTAAACGTAGCCGATCAATTGCGGTTCTGCTTAGCCAGCATATCAAGGAGTCCAAGAAGAGAGAGAGAGAGAGCGAGAGAGAGGAGTAGCGAGAAATATAGACAGAGAAGGATAAGATTTGCTTCAGCTTTAAGGTAGACCCGTTTTATGTGTTTATGTTTATACATTGACTACACTTGATTCCTGTGAACTAATGAACGTGTTGTTTATATGTATATCCTATCCTATTCGCACCTAATTTATCTTAAGGATGTAGATATTCCAAAATATCGGAAAAGATTCAGAAAGCTTCTCAAGACTAATAGATAAGTAAATATAAATATGTAGACTAAGAATTTTTGAAGTAGAAATATAAAACTAAAAAAGCAAAAATAATATATATTTTATATATTTGCCTCTTCAGTCTACTCAAAAATTAAGTTGTATGATATGATTTACACTTCAGATTCAATGGTAATTGATTTTGACTTACTTTGCAGCTACTGAATAATAGTTGTATATAACACAAAAAACTCTATAAAGTTATAAAACTTAGTTGCTTTGCTGATTGTGGGGGCAGACAAATAATATATAATATTTATATAAATGTGCTAAAATAATTGCTTTGATTCCATAATGATAATGTTACAAAGCTTAAAATTATAGTCTTTAGCAAATGTTAGTTATTCTTAAAAAGAAAATGGAAAATGTTAATTGTAATATTTTTAATATATATTTAAAATTTGTGTATTGATTTCTATATTTATTTAGATTCTTTTTTTATTCAGATATTTAGATTCTTTAAATTGTTTTTCATTTCTGAAACGACAAAGCTTTTAGCTCTTTGAGATACTTTTGCATGTCTTAAAAGCTGATAAGCATTTGCTGAGACTCGCTTATGCTTATCATAGGCAAAGAAGTATCCACATTAAATATAAATATTTAATTTATAAATGCATGCAACACAACACTTACTGCAGCAACACGCGTTGCACATTCATTTGTCTGATATCATTTTGGTTTCGCTACTCACTCATTCAGCGAATCGGAGCAGTTTAGTGTGGGTGCCTGGTCTACAAAAAAAGAAACCACTAATTATGCGACCAACCACACAATATCCGACAATGGTTCACCTAATTATTTGGCTCAATTGTAGGTGGCTCTTGTTGTTTGTTATTGTCTGTTGCATGTTTTTTTGTTTTTTTGTTGTTTGTCCGACACTCGACAAAAAGCGAGCCAGTTTTTAAACGATTTGTTTCTCTTTTTATGAGTTTTTTCCATTGTAGGCATTTTTACCAGTGTTCGCTGCTCTACAAACGTCCTAATTGCGGCAGTTAGTTGTTGTTAGAGTCCTTGTGCTGCCTGGTGCCTGGTGTCCTGAGACGTCGCCTCGTGAGTTCTTTTATTGCGCGCTCGCATTTCCACTAAAAATTGTGCCATTTCTTTTTCTTTTTTTTTGTTCTTCAAGTCCTTAGGTAGTTGTTTGACGAACGCGCCTTTTTATTGGTGCACCTTCGGCGAAAATCGGAGCGCAACAACCGCAGTCCAGCAGCGAGTCCTTCGCATCGATGTGACCTGCGAGCTGGCATCTCATTCGCAGTCTGTTCTGTATCGTAAAGAAAAAATATACATATAAAAAATAATTAAAAAATTATTGCATTCAATAAAAAAATGATTGTTACAGTTATAGTTACAAGCCCATAAAGATTTCATCGATTTGCTGGCATAAAATCTTAATCGAAAACTTTCTGTTTATTCGCGACTATAAAGATTATTTTTAATATTTATAACTTAAGCTTAAAAATGATGTGATAATTTCCCTGCGAATAAAAATGCTCCAAAGGCTCTAAGAATACGTTGTCGCTGCGTCTGCCAGATGTGATGCTTTTAAATTGTTGTATTTATTTGCCACAATTCAAAAAATATATATTAGAAAAAATATGCGTGGGTCCTTGTTGCGTTTTGGTCCCGTTTCGCATTGTTTGCGGCAATGACAAAAATTGTGTCTTAAATTTATGGCTGCAACGTTTTGGTCCCGCTTCGTTCATTGTTTGTGTGGCAAAGAAATGGTTCAAAAATTATGGCAGTTTATGCAGATTTTTATGGACCGTGTTTCGCTGTTGAGGCTTCGCGGAAATTCGGCCGTGTCCTGTCGTGCATTCCGAGGACCGTATTAGGAATGTAGATCAATGTTTTTTGTTTCCATTGTGCATTTTTTCGCTGCCCTAGTTTTTTTTTCCCCGAAGCCAAAGCGACTGCTCTAATTTTTTAATTCTTCACGGGTTTTTACGATCGCTGGAAAAACAGTGGAAAACAACGAAAACTCACTGAACCGTTTTCTCACAAGGTTACTCAGCACCATTTATTCCAATATAGCCAGAGAGCCTCGCTGCCGCTCTACTTACCTGTTAATTGTGGGCATAATTCAGTGTTTTTAACACAGTTCTCAACATCCATCCATATTTTTATTAGGGCGTGTCCATTTGTTTGCCCATTTGTTAACGATCGTAAATCTTTCAAACTGTGAATCTACCAAAATCGATGGCAATCCACCAATTGAGGGTTTTTATCTAAGGGTTGTTAGTTGCTTGGAAACTAAGCATCCAATGGATACAAGCTTAATTTGTCTTTTTTTAAATTAGTTTATTTTAACAATGAATAGATATATAGAAAGATAGATAGATAATATATTACATTATTCATATCAAATTGTTTAGTTAGTTTCTGTTTCAAATTCAGGGCTAGGTTAAATCAGTTGAAGAACTTCTAGCAATATCTTTACTAATTAATATATTAAGGAATTTAGTCGAATATAATAAATACAAATAGTTGGAAAGGACCTTTTTGATTAGTAGTTTAGTGTTCTTAAAATAGTTCTGACTCTAAGCTGTAGCATAATTATATTTTTGCAATTTGCGAAAATATTATTTGGTTATCAGCCTTCAGAGAAATATATCTTAACCTAAAGCTTTCAAATATTTGATACATAAATATACAATGAAATCTTATCAGTGTCCCTCATTTATTTAAAGTTTCCAGAGTCTAATTAAAAATGCTGATTACTTTGAATTTCTTATCACGAATTCTGGCCTTAGATATTAAGAAGTTTCTTACAATATTATGCTTGAGTAAAATGGGTCTGTTTTATATGTGGCTTGTATATGTATATGTGTATGTGTGTGTGTGTGTGTGTACTTCCCATAATCAGCATAATCAGCGAGATCGGCGCTTTGTGCGCGCAAAATGCCAATAAAAGAGCAAAAGAGCAACAACAACCAATACAAAGGGGGCTTCCAAGTATTGAGGTTTGGGCCAAGCCGATGATGCCGAAAGTGTTCAAATCGCGACAATGCTCGCGGTGATCGGGTAGGGTCAGGGCTGGGCAGGACAGGATCAGGTTACCCAGGAACTCAGTTTCGTCAACGCTAAGTGAAAGGTTAAAGGTGCTGACTGGCCTGAGCCGCCATAAAGGGTATTTACTGTCGCTGCCGCAGTGTCGCGTTTATTTGCTTTTGGGCCCAGAAAGAAAGGTTGCTCATTCTGCGAGCGGCGTGAAACAAAAGCGCCTCAACATGCACAATAGGCAAGGTTGTGGGTAGGGTTCGTCGGGGCTTTGGGCAAGGCTTGGACTTGGGCTGGGCAGATCGACTTGGCCAGGTCAGCGTAGTTGGTCAGGTAGTCGAGGCACTCGAGGCGAGTTAATGCAAATTGCCGCGCAATATAACCCAATAATTTGAACTAACTCACAGCAACAACAACTGGGAGAGTTACTTAGTAATGCATAACAATAAGTTGAGGCTGAAATTGAGACTGAAATGCTGTTTGCCGAAGGTTTTCAGCCACAACGTTTTTCCAAGGGTTCTCATCGGCATTGACTGGTTCAGAATCCTGTGCGTTAATCCGTTTTGCCATCAGCGACATTATTACTCTATTTTCCATTTCTCTCTAAAATTTGAACATTTTCTCAACCGTTTGCATATCCATTTCCATTTTCATTTTCCATTTTCACTTTCGCCTGCGGATACGAGTTAGATTTTATTGCAGCATCTTGAACAATCGCCTCAACTCGAACTCGAACTCGAACGCGAACTCGGAATTGGATGTGCAGTTTTGGAACCATGCTGGGTTTTGTTTGCTGTCATTGCTCTAGTTTTGCTTTCATTTCCTCACTCTTAGCTGGTGATTTTTAGGCAGAATTCCGCTGTCCTGGCATTGTCATTGAATCGCCGACCGGGTTACCCTCAAACTAGGTTTGAGTTTAACTTTCAACTTTAACATTACCAAAACCGACTTCAACTCCATTTTCGACTTTGCTGGCGGAGTTTCCACATGCCTCCGTTTTTGTTTATTTGTTTGTTTTGCGGATTTAGAGATTAGAGAAAAGGGGCCAATGGCTTTAGACTGATGCCTGATCTGCTCGCCTTTTCATTAGAAAGTCACACAAACGCATAATGATGACAAGGGGGATTAAGCTCACATACCTACACATAACCTAATTAGCGGATTTACAAATTGGTTTATTTTTTCCCTTTTTTTTATTGTAGTTGGTCTGCCCCAGCTTAAACCCAAGCCACTGCATCAGGCCAATCCAAAAAACCCGAGCAGGTATCAACTTACGCAAGCCAAAAAAAAAAGACAAAAGACAAAGAAAATATCATAATAACATTTCAGAGTTGGCAGCAACTCAGTTTCAGCGCCAGTAACTGCTCCCGGCCAGTAACTGCTCTCTGGGTACAGTTGCGCATTTTGGGCAACATGATTATATCATCATAATAAATGTTTGCCGCAACTAAACTGAAACTTTTCAAATTAAGTTTCAACAACTGCGCCCCCAAAAAGTATTTCATTGTTTATGCATGTGTGTGTGTGCGTGTGTGTTTGTGTGTGTGTGCGTAGGGTGGTCTCTGTGGGCGTTGTCCAAAACTTTTGTTTTATGAGCACAGATAAACTTCATTTACTGTTGAAGCTGCTAGCTACTACAACACGCCACCCTCTGCCACTCCAGCGGCAAGGGGCAAGTGTGAGGCCGTTAAACGTGCGGCATAATATTAAGACTTCATAAAAGAGCAAATTATTTGGCTGGCAACATCGATCGATATGGCAAACTCCACCAGCAAACACACCCAGTGGCGCTTCTGCTGCTTCTCTTACTCCGCCATCGCCATCGCCATCGTCGTCTCTGTGCATTATGCCATATCATTCTTTTGCCTGATGAAGCCGATAAAATCCCATTATTAAGGGGGCCACTCACGTCTCGTTCACACCCGTGGCGTCGCCCGCTTGCGGACAAGCGAAACAAAAGATTCGCTCATACGCTATGAATATATGAAATCGCAGCCAGTCGCCAGTTCTCAAAGAGAGCAAAATGATGCTGCTGCTCCCGCTGCTGCTGCTGCTCCCGCTGCTTCTGCTGCTGTTATTGCTCCCGCTGCTTCTACTGCTGCTGCTGGTGCTGCTGGTGCTCCATGATAACTTGATTATGGCTCTGCAGCTCGTCTGCGTTTTTCTTGCGCTTTTCCTCTTGCTTCTGCTTTTTGGCTCATCCTCGCAGTTGTTTGCTTTTTATGTGTATTGTTCCGGCATCGTAATTGCCTTCATCGTCGCATAATTGTCAGTCAGCAGCAACAGCAGCAGCACCAGCAGCAGCAGCAGCAGTCGTCCTGGCAGCAGCACCACAACATTAGCACCATCGTTCATTGCACCGCGGCAGGCAGTGCGAAAGAGCGGCAATAGGCACACACACAACTATCGCCATCTCACTCGCACACAGCGAAGCAAGCGTTGATTGGCTGCGCGAAGTGCCTGCGACGGCCATTGCTCAGCGGCTAGGTATAAAAGCGAGTCGGGGTAGCTGAGAGAGGCACACTTGAGCTGTAAGCATCGCAGAGTCAACATCGTTTCCATCGAGAGTTCCGTTTCGAATCCGTTTCGAGTCCAGTCGAGAGAAGTTATTTAAAGGGAAAGCAGCTGATCAAAATGCACGGATACCGCACATACAACATGGAGAGCCATCATCATGATAGCAGCAGCGCCGTTGACCAGAAGCCGCTGGTCGTCGATCTGATATCAACACAGTATGGCAAACCACAAACGCCGCCACCATCACCAAATGGTAAGTTCGCAGCACACTCTCAATCTCATCTCTCTGGAGCTTAACATTTGACTAACCAAACCCGTTTCTCTCTGTTGCCTACTTGCAGAATGCCTGTCCAGTCCAGACAACTCACTGAATGGCAGTCGCAATTCGGAGATACCCGCTGATCCGTCGGTTCGTCGCTATCGAACTGCCTTCACACGCGATCAGCTGGGCCGTCTCGAGAAGGAGTTCTACAAGGAGAACTATGTGTCGCGTCCTCGCCGTTGCGAGCTCGCCGCCCAACTCAATCTGCCCGAATCAACGATTAAGGTCTGGTTCCAGAACCGCCGCATGAAGGATAAACGCCAGCGCATCGCCGTCGCCTGGCCATATGCCGCCGTCTACTCGGATCCCGCTTTCGCTGCTTCCATTCTGCAAGCGGCTGCCAATAGCGTGGGCATGCCGTATCCACCCTATGCACCAGCTGCTGCTGCCGCCGCCGCCGCTGCTGCCGCTGCGAATCCGATGCTGGCCACTGGCATGCCCACAATGCCGGTGCCCGGCCATTCACCCTATGCCCAGTATCGCTATGCGCCCTATCATATTCCTGCACGCCCAGCGCCACCTGCTCCGCACATGCATCCACACTCGCATTCGATGTCGCATCCGCACTCCCATTCGCACTCGATGCAGGGCGCTGCTCCCATGGGCTATCCGGCGGCAATGTTGGGCGCCGCCGCTGCTGCTGCCGCCATGCCGCCCAGCTACGCCGGTCAGCTGCAGGTGCCAAAGACGCAAACACCTCCGCTGGATCTGCAATCGTCATCGTCGCCGCACTCCTCGACACTCTCGCTGAGTCCCGTCGGCTCTGATCACACCAAGGTCTTCGATCGCAGTCTTAGTCCGCTGCGCTCCGCGCCCGCCGGCAACACCACCAGCTGCCCACTGCCCGCTCCTGGGCTGCTGATGGCCAGCAGTGGCAAGCGACCAGCGTCGGATATGTCGCCGCCACCATCGGGGACGACAGTCATTGCGGAGCCAAGACCGAAGCTGTTCAAGCCCTACAAGACTGAGGCGTAGGCGTAGCCGCGCCAATCTCATAATCCTTTCAACCCCCTTCCCGTTCCCCATTCCCCATACCCCTGCCAGCTCCATCCATTGTACAAATTAGCATTAATTGTTGTGTTGTTTTCCGCCCAGCCCCCCTCGTCTACTCTTTCTCAGTGTGTAGAATCGCATAAAGTCAAATTAATTTATCAGTTGTACAAACATGTAATTTAGTTAAGTTTAAATGAATTAAAAACTAAAATAAAATGATAAATATTTAAATAATATATGCAACAACTATTTAATACTTTCAAACAAAACAAATATACATTTAAAATATTTTCCTAAAAAAGATATTTGCTAATTTTTCAACTTTAAATTCAGACATTTTTTTCATCAAATTTATTTTGACAACGAATGGAAAATTTGGAAATGGGTTCGATCCATAAAATGTAGGGCACTCACAGCTGCAGCGGACTTACCTGTTCTGCTGAAGCGCATTTAATATGCTGACAATTTTATGGATCGTGTGGAGAATCCTTTATCCCTCAGGGAGAGAGCTGCAGCTGCAACATTTTGCGGAGCCTGCTGATTGACCTCGAGCCTAGAAACTATTTTTCAGTGCCATTTGAGAGTGGCACACGCTTAGGCAGCCTAAAGGCAGCCTGACCTTCGGGCCGAGAACGGGGCCCACCCACAAGGCTGCAGCAGGAGGAGGATGGTGTGGCACAAGCCAAATCAGTTATTAATGCGATTAAAGCAAAGCACAACGAGGACAACGAGGAGAACGAAATCGAGCACGAGGAGACTCGGGGCGATTGTCACACGCAGTGCAGTGCAGTGCAGTGCCAACTGTGTGTCCTTGCCACAGCCAGCATGCAGGCCGAGTCGGGGCATGCCTCCCTGCCACGCGTCAGGTTGCATTCAATAGCCATTGCCTGTCAATGCGTATCAGTGTTGCCTAATTAATTGTCGCCGTGTGTTTCTCTGTCTTTTTGTTTGTTTGTTTGTTTGTGTCGCCAATTGTCATAATTGAGAAATCATCAGAGGCACAAGGACACAGAACACACACAGGACACCCAGGGCCAGAAGTGACGCAAAAGCCAGAAAGCCAAAAGGGCAAAATGGGATGACAAAACAACTGTGCCCAAAATCACAATTTGTATTTAATTGCCAGGACCAAAACATGTGTTTCAAATTGCTCAACTGCCGGGCTACGAAAAGGGTGTCAATTGCTTGGCTTATCAACATCAGCCAATCCTCTGAACCCTTAAATAGATACTATATGCACGTGTATCTGTGTATCTGTGTGTGTTGATGTGCTTGTGTGTGCGCTCTATCAAAACATGTTTTGACAGCGCATAAAAAATGTTCGGGCACCCCTTTCGACTCTTTTGGGGGATGCAGCCAAGTGGCAACATTTTATGATTTGATAATGCTCAGATACGCGCAGAGCAAGTAGATAAAAAAAGACAGGCCACAGTATTCGTTGCGGGTGTGGACGACTATTTGGTTACCCCTTAAATGACCATACGAAATTTAAACGAAATTAATCGACAGATTTTTAAAGCTCACATTTAAATACTTAACAAAGTCGGGGATGTCCTATTTCACATCCAAAAGAGTGGTTATAAAATCGATAAATATCGATATATTTAAAAAAAATATCATTACTTATCGAGACCCACTGATCAGCTTGTGTTTTGTAATTTCATGAGACCCATGTGAAAAACAGTTGCAGGGTATACAAAAAACTCAGAGTCTGCCCTGGGGACCTTGGTGCTGACTGCTGGGTAGAGCAGAGCACAGTAAATTAAAAAGCGGAAGCGGAACGTTTGGCCTCAAGTGCGGGCAGGGGCGTGCCAGGGCGGGGTAAACAACTCGATTAATTTCTGTTTAGGGGTGTGACTGGCCCCGATTTGCAGGTTGTTGTTGATAATTAATCATGTGGGGATTAACTTGCAGAAACATCATCAAGCAGGTTTATTGAAAAATTATGCGCTATAAAAACATAGAGAGAGAGAGAGGGAGAGAGAGAGAGAGAAAGACTTAGAGACAAGCGAATTACAAGCGAATTGCTGTGGATTAGCGAGTGAAATCTGTTAAGCAGCAGCTGCGCAAGCAAACAAGGAAACCTGCGCCTGCCAGGGGAATAGCGAGTTGGCTAACAGAATTCGGTGTATAAGCAATATAAATGTGGTATTATTATCAATTAGGCGGCTGTATCTAATTCCAACTGTGAGTCGATTTTATTGCGTTCAATCAATGGCATTTGGCACTCGAATGAATGGCGACCACTTCATGAGAACTTCTCCCACAAACAACATCAGCAGCAGCAGCAGCAGCAGCATCAGCGGCAGCAGCATAGAAATCAACACACAAAACAATGCATAATTCAATAGCTTCAAGGCCCAGTCCATACGCATTTATGGAGCTAAAGTCCAACCCCCCCTTCCCCTCTCCCCTGCCAGCCACTTCACCCTCTCCCTGCGGCCTGTTGTCTGTGTGCGATGTACAAACAAAATTAAGTTTTATTGGTGCGCAGTCGCCGCGATGATGCGTGAGAGATGGAGATGATGAGTGGGAAATTGAGCGCAGCTGAGACCACCCTTCCCCCTTCCCTATCCCTCGCCCCACCGCCTTCCCCTCTTAGCCTACTCCTACCACAGACCCTAAATCAAAACCCTACTCCTTACATTTCATGTCTTTGTGCTGTGCTTCTTTGGCGTATGTGTGTTGTGTTATGTTGTTGTTGTTGTGTTTGTTTCTTCTCTGATTTCTTTTAATAGTGAATTAGCACCTCGCACTGTCGGCCCAGTGTTTGACTTGGCTTTATGGCCATCATCTGGCTGACTGTTTGTCTGCTGGGCTGCCGTTGCCCACTTTCCCAACAAAACATTTCGTTTTTGTGTTGCCTCTTTTTTTTTGTTGTTTCTGATATTTTTTGGGCCCCGTCGGCATTTGCACAAAAGGCGGCTTGTGTGCCCAGTCGACCGCAATTTAGCTATCCACATTTACACAGCTTTGCTTCACTCCTCCCCTCCAGCCGCAAATCCACTTTATGATGTACGAAATTCACACTAAGTGTCAATGAATATAAAGTGATCATGGCACAGTCACAGTCACTATACTATCATCACAGTCAATTCCTCGCTGACACGAATCTGTGGAGTGACCGCTTACAGATCGGCAAGATCTGAGTCCTCTCCCTCAATGTTTGTGTGTGTTTGAGTGTGTTATACAACTGACTTCATTCCCAGGCTTTAGTCGGTTAGTTGTCTCATTCATTTTTAGCATCATTGCTTACAGAGACACGCCTTAACAGCCAATCATAATTCAAGCACTTCACAACAGAATTGGAATTCGGTTTTCAAATGGATTTTATGAAATCACAGAAAGGTCGACATAAATGCCAATGTAAATTGCTTTAAATAGTGGGCTTTATATTAAAATCCATTTTTAACAATGCTATAATATCACTTTATAAGGGGAACATTAAAATTTATCGTTTTCTTTATTTATTTATTTACTTTAAGTAGTCCATATAAAGTCGACTCAAATTTTCAGAAGATGTCATAATATAAACACAAATTGTAATATTTAAAATTTATGAGACGATTAAAAAGCTATTTTCAAAAATATCATAATTATTTAAATGTGTAAAAAGTAACAAAAATATTTGGAGAAACTCTGATAAATCTATAAATGTTTGAAGTTATTAAAATAAAATGTGAGAAAGTAAAACATGATGAAAATAAGTTAAGAAAAATAACATTTAATACAAAAATAAGTTTAATTTGAAGGTTTTTAAATTCTTGAAACAAAGCTGCTGTAAAAGTACAAATTGAATTCCTAATTAGAAAAGTTTAACAGAAAAATGGCAGCTAATAAAAGTGTGCCATTAAAAATAATAGAGGCATTAATAACATTAGTAAAACTCACATGAATTAAGTTATTCTAATTGAACTTTCACATAGCAGTACTAAATTGTAATAATGTGTAATTTGGCATTTTCTAAAAATAATTTTGTTGGTCAGTGTTTGGTTAAATCGCACATTTGATATTTTATGCAGATGCCAATTGAGTTTTGTATTGTTTTCTGTATTTTTTCTGCTTTTTTTCTGTTTTTTTCTTGTTTGGTTTTAGTAACCATTTGCGGTTTCCTCATACACAGACAGATACACTGATACATACACACACACATACACACATTTAGCTGTTGGCCCAAAATGGATGAATAAACATCTTTGTAAAATGATGATGCCGGCGCACCAAATAATTTCACACATTCAACACAGCATACACAGCACCCCAGCCAACCAGTCACTCACTCAATCAGTCATTCAATCAGTCAGTCAGTCAGTCAGTCAGTCAATCAGTCAGTCAGTTGGTCAGTCAAACAGTCAGCGAGTCTGTTGGCCATTAGTCACTCGTTTGTAGTTTGTCGTCGTTGTGTGTGAAACAGACATAAGCATAAACCATATTCATAGACACAACTTATTATAATTTGATTGGGCTGTGAGGGGCTCCTCAGTTGGCAGTTGGCCAATTTGCACGCTGTCCATTAACGGGACCATGCGCCGCTTATCTGACTGCGTCCGCAGCATTTTCTGTTGGTCTCATCATTTTCATGGATATTAACAACTGATAATCGCGAACCATCGAAACGGGGCCAAAACAAAATGCCAATTGTGATGGAGTGGGAGGGGGTAGTGGTCGGTTATTGAGGGTGTTGTGTAGGAAAATGATGTCAGCAATTTTTGGGAATTTTCACATTTCCATATGCGATTCGCTGCGCTACGAAATGCAATTGGTAGCGGGTTGTGTGATAAGCTCCGGGTAATTGCAATCAAATCACAACAAAAACAGAAAACACAAAACCAAAAACCCAAATTGCCATAAAATCTCTGACCAGTCAGCGAGGTGGAGGGGAGGGAGACCGTGCAGTGGGCAGGGGGAGAGGAGAGAGGCACGAGGGTTGGTAAAATAAAGCGAAATAAAAATCAATTGCTGTTGATAGATGCTGCGGCTATTTGGAGTTTGGGTCAGCAGTAGGAGTCGAGGAGGGGAGGGCTATAAATCTGCAGCTGAGATAATGAAACTAGAATGATTGCGGCAATCACTGGTGTGGCGAGTAGCCAGCACAGCCACAGTCAGCTTGCTGTGGAACGTGCCACAATGAGAGTCCTGGACTGGGCTGTGGCTGCTCGCATGCAA